AGTAGTAGTAGTAGCAGCATTAGCAATAGCAGTAGCAGCAGGAGCTGTCGTGGTCGTCGTAAGCATCGTAGCAGCCCTGCAACTCTTCCAGCAGCGGTGACTGCTGCTGCTTCTTCTGCACCTCTGCAGGTAGCTTCTCCTGACTGGGTTTTACTTTAGCCTCTGACACATCGTCGTCAGTTGCGTCGCAGTTGCAGCAGGTTGGTCGACCAGTTGCGCGTGGGCGGAGCAGTGCAGCCCGCAGCAGCCACATGGCTTTCAGGGATCCTGGGTAGGGCTGAGGCTTTGGGAGTGTTTTCAAGCGGGGAGTTCCTAATCTACGTTATGACACCTTAAGGCCAGTTCTCGGAAGCAGGAAGCCAGAACTGCACATCCTCCTTGTGCCGCCGCCCCGAACCCGAGGAGCTTCGTGCTGGTCCGGAGTCCCTGACAGAGAACCTGGTGAGGGCCGAGGCAAGCTCCCAGATCACGACAGTGAGCCAAGTTTCGGATTCTGAAAAGAATCAACCTGCGAAGAGTGCGCAGAAGTTCTGAGGCCTAGGCCGAGCCTTTTGTACGACCGCCCCAGATCCTGTCAGGTGCGTCGACAGCTTTCGGAGAGGCGGCCTGTGAGCGATACATCATCAGTCATTGCATGTTACAGCAAAATTTCCGTGATGGCTATCCCGCCATGCCCGGCTCTTGTTGAATGGCGACTCAGCATGTGGTCTGCAAGCACGGCCCTCCGCTTCTCCTGCACATGCTTCAGACGCGAGAGTGCTAGAGCTCGATCTGTCGTTTTTCACATCGGAGAATGGAGAATGACGCCTCATCAAGCTGGGAGGCCGTCCGAGCCATCCAATGCAGCTGCCCCAACAGTTCTGGAGATGATGCTCGACTCCAGAAGCTAGCTGTTGTAACAAGTGAGGGATTATCAAAACCGAGAGGGCATTTTTTAAAGTAGATGCGTCCGTACTTTGAGAGAAATCGAGTTCCCTGTAAAAAGATAGGCGTAAAAAAGAAGGGTAACGAACCTTCGTAAAATTAGCTCAGATTATGCAGTCCCAAAGTCCTGTAAAAGGATAAGAGCACCTCAAGTGTACAGTTCGGTTGATTGGGTCAGGGTTCCTAGATGCTCCCGACAGGTGTGTCCATCACTTGTCCGCCCAAGGCAAGCACTCTCGAGCCGGCTTGACCGTCTCGAGAAGCGCAGCAGCACGTTTACCTGCCTTGCCGTGAGATGCTGTGAGTCGTGTCCAGGAGTATGAACTGATTGGGTGGAGTCCACTTAGATGCGCAAACCTGGCAGGTCTCTTGAGAACGAAGCGGCTGGCCGACAAGAGGAATTCCGACAGCAGAAATCATCAAATCAAACGCCAATGCTTCCATGTCAATGACGTAGAGTGCGAACGGCTCCAGGAGAACAGCAAGATGATCAACATGTTCCAAGAGACTCTGGGCTTCACCGTTGCGATCCGCAGGTGTTGGAATGAGTCCATGTGCAGAACGTGTAAAGATTTTCAAGCCTAGTAGCGTTCTGAGGATCTCGGCAGAGGCTCGTCAACACCAGGACGTCTTCGGGTTCCAAAGAATCAGAGATCCGTGAGTCTGCAGTTTGAGACTGCCTATCCGTGTCGAGCCCCTTGCCTTCTGCTGCTTGCAGTTGTGGGCCACATTGCCTGCCGCATACAAGGTTCTGCTGGCTCGTGCCCGTTGCCCAGAAACAACGTTCGTTTCTGTCGTCAGGATGCCATGATCTCAGAGTTGGAACAACGACTCCAGGCCAGAAGTGTGCGTGGCCACATAAATCATGTCATGTCTGCTATGGGCCTGAAGCTCCATTCTGCTCTCTGCACATCATGCCTATCTACCACAGGCTCTTGATCGGAGTGTAGGCATGCATGCAGGCGGAGCCTGCAAGCCCTAGCCATGGCGGGAAGCGTTATGCTATGTAATATTATGTAACATCATCATAACTTCCTTTAAAGTGGCTTGCGGTGTCGAACCGAAGCCAAGCATTGCCTGGCATTGCAGGGAAAGCTCGAGCAGCTGTCTGCGGAGGCTGGCGTTGGGCCTTCTTGGACTGTAGATCCAGTCTTGCAACGTTACAAGCACATCATGGACTGTCTTCAAGCATCCTGTCTGATCGGCCTCGCCGCACATCTCCGATGCACAGGTTCAGCAGGAGGTGACTCAACGCAGAACCTTGCTCGCGAAAGAATCCAAGGCAAGGGCAAGACCTTGTGCGGCAGATAGCGGGTGATGCGGGGTCAGGAGAAACATGGAGAAAACCTTTCAGAGGCGGATGTCAGTTCGAGTCGGTCTGGAGGGTCACATAGGTGCACGGTGAGCTCGAGATGCGTTGCGTAGTGCGACAGGACCGTGAGGAAACCGCCATGGCGATCTTGCGACTTGGCGATGTTGTTTACTAGACCTGGTATAGTGTGAGATGTTTAAGGTGGTTGCCTCGCTCAACATGGTGTTACCTGCGAAAATGCAGTAGCCTGCAAACGTTTCTGTTTGCTGAAGCCGGTCTGAGTTGAGGAGTTGGCAGCAATAAGTACAGCGGGCGATCCATGCAGACTCAGACTGCTACGAGATTTCAGATAAGAGAGAGGGCCCGAGGTTCGGTGAAACCCCTGCTGTGCTGCTGAACGCTTCGGCAGGGTTTGCAGAGCTTCCCAAACGGCCCGGCTGGACCACTGAAGAACCTGAGAGATCGGATGAGATAGAGCGAGGCCGCCCGTGTATCAGGATAACAACCCCTGCAAATAGAGTGAAATAGATGGAGAGGCCCGACTGTGCTGGAGGGGTTCAGCACTTTCGGCCGGATCTGCAGTAAGGAAGGGGTAATAAGCAGATGCCAGGTTCATGGCAGGAACTGGGGGAATGTCAGAAAATCTAGCAACAAGTGGTGCGAAAGGTACGGAGAGGTGGAAACCTGGCAGCGGGAAAGCATCACATCTCCCCCTTGTAGGTGAACCCCAACACCAATCGAACACAAGGAAGTCTTTGGAGGACCAGCTGGGCAGCGTCGCTGGCCAGCACTGATTCCAAAAGATTGTCGTCTTCCGGATATTGGTCGGATGATCTTGAACTGGCTTTTTTTCAGTGGGACAGCTTTCTTTGCATAAACTCCAAGCTAGCCGACACTTTTCCAAGCCATTTTATGCCAGATATCGAACATGTGCAGGAAGTCACCATTGCCTCTTGGATAAGTATGTGCAGCCAGCAGGTTGAAGAGTCTCTGAGACGACATGCTGCTTGGTACTGCAAATGACCAACTCACGTGTGCTTGATTGTCGCAGTGCCGGGACCCGCATGCCTCTGCGGCCAATGTGCTCAGCAAAGTTTCTTTGCCTCAGGAGAAGGAGCTCCAGCGCAGCCTCGATGCCGTGATTGCATTTGTGTTCAGGAGGCTAGTCGCAGGTCCCACAGATGCGAACGTAGGTTCAGCGGGTTTTCGTTGAGGCTGCCGACATGGCTATGCTAGTCGCCCATAGGCTCATGGGGCACCTCAGCCTCTAACGCATGCTCAGACTGCCGAAAGTCCACGGCATGTCTGCATATCTGCTTGCGGTTGTGCTCAGCTCAGGAAGCTACAGCAGCCTCATTTGCGGAAAAGAACACGAAGGACCCTTCATGCCTGCACCCGCACGCACCCAGACGCACACAAAGTACGAGTAGCTGAGGTGTCATCAAGGAAAAGCAGTGTGTAAAATGGAGGGTTTTCTACGTACGATGAGCATAGCTTCATCCGGCGAAGTCTTTTGTCTGGACAGCTGCCGAGCCAGTAGCTGGGCCCTCTACTTGACGGCACAGAGGGCAAGCGCAGAGTCTCTTCCGCCAAAAAGGCTCCTCCCTTGAGATTTGTGCACTTCCATCATTGTTTTCCGAAGCCCTCAGGAGATGATGACAACGCGGCAAGACGTGCTGGAGCTGCGCGAGGAGCTCCAGGACCCCAAGCATTTGGTGGCGATAGAGAGGCGCGAGGCCCTGCGAAGAAAAGATTTGTGCCAGGAAGTGGCTCGAACTGGGCGCGAGCGACTCGAGGAAGCTGTCGTGCGCCTGAATGCGACAGCTCCATGCCCTCAAAGACATGGCATACGCACGAGTCGGAATGATCACATTGCAGATCAATTTCGGAGCTAGGTCCAGGCCACTTGTGGTCCAGATGCAGATCGCCGAGTAAGCTTATGTGCAGCAAAACCTTGGAGCCTCACTGAGGCTCCTGCGCGCGGTGACGCGAGCGTTGAGGCAGTTCGATGGCTTCGAACAGTGACAGTGACCAGGGCGGGTGAGAGAGGGAAGCGCCCTTCCAAACTACTGATTGGCAGATGGTGCTTGCACCTGGCTTTGGGTACTTAGGCCATCTTAGGCCGGTGGGCAGGCTCAAGCTACCTGCAGTAACGAGACGTCACTCAAAACTGAAGTCCTCGAGCTCTCCAACTTTCATGGATTCGCAGGTGAAGGCACGGGAAGAACTTTGGACCGACCTGGCTGCTCGGCAGGATCTGCACCGGTCACGCGCGCTTCCATAATACTGCACCGACAGAAACCCATTTATCAAAGTTTGCGGAACTCCTACAAGTAGCAGTGTTCTCTTGATCTTGCCTGGGCAAATCGGCGCCTAAACACACATGGATGGTGTTTGGGCTGGATGCCTAAGGATCAACTTCGAGGGGAGCTGCGGGTGGAATCTGCCACGCGGAAAGAAGACGTCCAAGGCGGCGCTTAAAGATGGCCTCAAGAAGGAACGATGTGAGAAAGGCATATGGTCTACATAGTGTCTACATGTACATTAATTAAGGGTTTTAAGGTCCATGGTAGCTGGACTTGATTCTCCTGGCCCTTAAATCTGCTTTGGCCAGGTGTTCGCTCCAGCCTCGACCGCCTTCGGGAGCAGGCTGCCGCGTAGCGGCCCGTGATGAATGGAGGGGCATCGTTCGAGGATGCAATGTTGTCGCGGCATGCTTAGGGCGTGGAAGCACCGGACTTGATGCTACTAGACTCTGTTAAAAGAGCCCTCCCCCTTCGAAGATGGATGCTCTTCTCCTGTCAAGAGCTTGTCGTTGTCCTGGCGGCCTAGTGTTGCCGAGCATGAGACGAAACTACATGAACTGCTTGGCCTGCATGCCTGCGTCTTGCGAGCCCCAAACTAAACTGCTGCCACGACGCCTGGGCCTTCTTTTGCCGGGCTTCTTCGCAAGAAGACGCTTTTCAACAAACACCAACAGAAGCACGAAGCCTGAACAATCAGCGAGCACGGTTCACGTTTTCTGCACCCCCACGCCCTCTGAGCTTCCCGACGCTAACATGCCCTGACTGTTCCGACGTCGGCGCCTAGCGTTGCACGAGTCCGCGATTTGCAGGTCGTCGGCTCGTCGATGTTTAGTGCAGCAGCCTCAGCGGAAGCCCAACATTTCTTCGGGGTGACAAAGGCAAAGGAAAAGCACAGTGAGAAGTCACCTCCGGCCTTGTGCTTTCGAGTCAAAGTGCCCAGTGAACACCGTCCTTGCAGCCGGGTTGCTGTCGCAACCATTGCTTTGCGGAGTGCTGGAGTAATCGCAAATCCTAAGCCTCCACCCAACGCTGAACATCCCGAACAGAAGCGCAGAAGGAGAGGTACAGAAATCATCTAAGGCTAGGGGATGAGCATCTGAGCCCCACACCTCAACGCGGCGAGGTGCAGGAGCTCCAGAACGCCCTCAACGCCGAGCGCCTTGAGCGTGAGCAGGGCGACCACCGGTGCCTTGAGGCCTTGCATGAGCTCCGAGAGGACTGGTGGGATTGCCGGGGTCTGGGCAGTTTGCCTTTGAGGTTTTGCAACACCTCGTCCCCTTTTCAGTGCAGTACTTCGTGGAGATGGAAACTTGAAAGTCTGTTCAGAGGCTCCAGTCGAGCTGGGGGCAAATTCTTGCATCCTGTGTGCCCTTTAACAACAATATGCCAATGCGGCGCTGTGCCAGGACCACAGGGCCTCTGCGCAGGGCAGCCCCGCTGTTCAAAGCAACGGAAAGGCAACCAGGCAAAAGTAGACGCAATATGCGGAGATGCAGTCATTCCCCAACAGCGGATATGTTTATGCGGTCTACGATCTTTAAAACGCAGGCACGGTGCGAGGTTTCGGTATTAATACGGGTTCCCGACAGCGTAAAGGATGTGCGCACGCGTACGCGTTGTTACACGCGTGACACTAGAAACTTGACCTGGCGTCCGCAGATAGAAGTCATCTATCCTTGGGCGGCACGAGATCGCCGCAATCTTTTCACATGAACAGCTCTCTGGACACTGTGAGATCGAAGTGTGCTCGCGGCGTACGAATGCAGCAGTAGCCTTTTCGCATAAAAAGCCTCTGTGCCATCTTTCCTCGTTGGCCCCGCCCTGCCCAAGCCGAGAGCCAGAAACACAGCGGCCATATTTATGTACGATGCTGTTGCCTTCGCATGACAGTCACCACGCTTTGCAGAAAAGTCGCGAAGAAAGAAACCAATGAGAGGCTGGAGCGCGTTTGCCCTGTTTTGCAGGGTTTGGGGTGGGTTTGAGGTGGGTTTAGGGTTGCCCTGGGATGGAAACTTTTTGAGAAACCGGCGCAAACCACTCGAAAGGGACTAGAATGTTTGAGAAACTGGGCCAAACACCGCACCAGAGAAATTAAGAGTGCTCGATATGCAAGAGCAAAACAGGAGCAAACCGCTCGAAAGGGATTAGGGCATTTTAGAAATAGGAGCAGACCGCTCGAAAGGGACTGGAGTCTTTGACAAAAAGTAATGGACATGTTGACATCGTGTCGAAAGTGTTGGGAGTTGTGCATCTTTGTGCACAGAAAGTCACCCAAGTGTGCTTGCGGCGTGAGCTAACACACCAGCCAGTCTTGTCGCATGAAGACATGTTTTTTCGCACACAGAGAGAATTCCAAGTGTGCTTGCAGATCCAAATTAAGAACACAACAAACTTTCGCATTAACACGTTTCTTTGAGCACGGTGAGAGAATATGAGAGATCCAAGTGTGCGAGAACGCAGCAGCTCGGCGAGATCCAGAACACAGCAGCTTCGCCGATTCAGCCGCATGTCTATTGTCGCGTTCGGGGCATATTCACATGTCTTTTCGAACGGTACAAAATGCACGTATGATGCTGGAGCAGAGGGCACGATGTTTGCAAACGAACATGTCTACGAGCACAGACAAAGATCCAAGTGCGCATGCGCTGCGCAGCTGCATCACGATGTGTTACTCCATCGCTGTTGGGGCCTGGTGCTGCGACAATAATCTGTCAAGCTGCCTGGTATATCTTGACGGCCGGTGGCATTCGCGATCTGTTGGTGACTTGTCATTCGGCTGAGGACCCTTCTTCCCCATACGCCGACATCAAGCAGGCACGAGGATTGAGCATGGGCTGACTTATCAACCTTCCTAACTTCTACAGCGTGAAATTTTCACAGTGACGAGCTGCATCAGACCACGCTGCTTGAATCTGTGGTTGTGTTCGCAATCGTACCATGCGCTTGGTTCCGCACTTCAACCATTCGTGTATTTCTTTCCTAACCGCGAGGTGCCGCCACTCCCCCGACCAGCCACGTCTGCGGTGCTTGCGGCCTGCCGCTCCCCTCCAAGCGGCCTCTCGGCTTCTCTGGCCGGTTCTTCCGCCATCGCACCTCCACGCCCGATCCAGGTCTCGTGCTGCCAACTCGAGAAGCCGCATCGGCCGGGCCGACTGCCATGAATCTGTCTGCTGTGAAGACTCCCTCCATGACGTGGCGCGGCGATGAACACAACCTGACAACCTGCCTGGTTTTGAGATGACACTGTTCTCATACGGTTCATTGTCGGGAATTCCTCGAGTGTCGGTAGCTCTGGAGCTACGACTCGGAGAAAGGCACTTCTGTCATTTGGATCTGAATCTCGGACTCCCGTCGGACTTTCACAGTGAGGTAGGAAAGAAGCTAGAAGATGCGTCTGCCGTTTCCGCATGCGCAGCACTGGTTGTTTTGCATTCTTAGAAGCACCTGTGCATTTTCCCAAGAGTCGTGAGTTCAGAACTACCTTCTCGAAGGCAAGGTTTAGTGGATGATATGCTTTTATTCTTTGGAACTAAGTCTCCGTGCGCTCCGCAAAGTTTCCCGCGTCAACCGAAGGCACCCAAGCTTCTCAGCATGAGGCGCAGAAGCGGGCGGCTGAGAATGTGAGTGTAGATGCTCTCAACCTGGCAGGGTTGGTCTCCAGGGATTGCAGACTAAGAAGATTTTGCAACGATTGTCGGCAAGGTCTGGTCATGCAGACTCAGACTTACAGAGTTATATACAGTCACTGTGGCAGTGTGATCGAGTCCGAGCGCTGCCACTTTCTTACGACAGAGGTCTGCTAGGGAGATCCTATGGGTTCGCCCTTGCGCCTGTTGATGTGTGTAGGCTGCACAGTGTTGGAGTATATTTTATTTGACTACTAGCACTCAAGTCGCTAGATTGCCGAGACGTGTGGTTTCGCTTGTTTGGAGAAGAAGTGCTCCCAATCTCGAGGAGGACCATGCAGTCGATCTGTTGCAGGTCGGGGTCGAGCCCGACTGGGAGATCCGGCGCGGAATGCTGTGAGCAGAGATCCAGGGAGATATATGTCTGGCCGGGTTCTGGCCACTTCACTCGCTTCATGCAATGGCAACATTGGTATTGTCATATATCATAAAACAGCAATGTAGACCTAACAGTTCCGGTCATTATCCTCAGAGTCGGAGGGCAGCACGAAGTCTGCACTTCTGACACTCTACATGCGGGGTCCGCCTGCTGGGACAGCTTTCATCTTCCTGCTGCGCATTTACACGGGCCACCTTCGCCTTCGGAGAGTTTCGGAATATAGGGTTTACAGCTTTCTGCAGTACGTACGCCGCAATTTTTATGCAAGCAGCCCTCCACGAAGGCTTCTAGATTCTTGGACGTTGATTCTGCAGGGCCACATGGGCGACCGCTGACATCCTGCACTGGTATCTTTTACATGTTCGGAATCAATGCACAGCGCAAGAACATAACATAAGCTGCAACCTTATCATCGTGAAGCTATCATGCATATGTTACATGCATGCATGCATGCATGCATGCATGCATGCATTCAGACATTGGTACACTCATTCACATCATGCATACATTACATGACATGCATTCATGCAGTGATAGATTCGTTCGTTCAGTTCGTTTATCCGTTCATTCATTCAATCCTTCCTTCATTCCTTCATTCCCTCCTTCATTCATATATTTACATTACATGTCTGACATTTCCGCACAGCACATTACATCGCGCTACATTCGCGCACGCACTCGCACGCGAGAACACGTGCACGCACACACAGACACGCAGAGACACACAGAGACACAGAGACACACCGACATCACACACACAGACACATGTGCGCAGAAGCGGTGGATCTCGTGCCATTTATGGCACATGCAGCTGCTACAGTCTCACATTGAAGTCTGACAGCTTAATGTGCCTCGCAGGTCTTCACAGTAAGGAGAGTTTCTCAACGAGATTCCCTGCAGCCTCTGCCCTTGAAAAAGGAGGGCAGCTGCTGCTTGAAATGCATAGCTACAAGCTGCTGTGGGACTAGCACCAGAATGAAACCATGTCCACTCTAATAAGTACAACTTGTGTGTTCATGTGCCGCGGCTCTTGGTGCTACCTCCCGCTAGTCGAGAGATCGAAGCGACGAGCACCCGGCACTGCTTGGCTTATCTAATTGCTTTTGCGGGTGCCAGGGCCCATATTACTTAAAGGGAAGGAGTGAGTCCAAGCCGCGCTCTATCTCTTTGGTTGCGCAGCACCCAGAGAGTTGCTGCATGCAGTGAGAAAGCAGCATCACACACAGCTGCAAGACTAAAACTTATCCGTCTCTTTGCGGGACTCCCGTGGGTCTTGATTCAAGCAGCTGTAGACATGCGAGGCGATCTGCACTGTTGAGTGCCGCTCCCCGACTCAACACTTGCTTTGACGTTCAGGTTGTGCTTTCCAGAGCCTGAATTTCAGGCCAGTGAAGCATGTTCAGCTTTCGGGCTCAGTCCGCTGGAGTCGGTATATTGCCATTGTCACCGAGCTCCGGAGCTGACCAATCGAGACGGTATTCTACACCTCTGTAGGCCCTTTCTCATGGCAGGATCACACCTAAGAAGCACCCTGTGCTACGTAGCCTCGGGTGAGACCAGTAAGAGCTGTTCCACAGAGACCACTGGAATCTGCGCCATGAAGCCTGCCAGCGCGCCGATGCGGACCACTCCCGCTCTGCCAGGGAAGCCGCCGGACTTGATATGACACGTGCTGCAGCGTGCTGTTCGCCTTAGCCTTCGCCTGGTACTCCCGTGCTGCGAGGGGTAAGCAAAAACTGCGGGAGATTTGAACTTCGCGAGACTTGAGCAAATCTCAAGATGAGCCGCGGGCGGCTGAAAGACTGGGCCAGGCGTTTGCAAACCTGGCCGGTGTTGCTCCGGTGGTTTCCTTCACACAGGTTTTGAGAGTCCAGCTTCGCAAAATACCATATCTAGATGTAGAGATGTAGATGCGATGTTCCAGCCGCACTTGCTCTATCGGAGACGCGTTTAGAACCAAGGCCAATGGTCGTCCAAGCGCCCTGCCCTTACCAACGGACACTGCCACAAGCCGCCAGGCAGGACCCTCGGATCCGCTTCTGCATGAACGGGTAGAAGGGGGAGGGTAGTCGTATCCGGGACACAGACAGAAACGGACACACAGACGGACAAACGGACGGACAGACAGAGACAGTCTCGCTGCAGCCAGGCTGCGAGGGCCCCCTGCAACTTAACGGCAGTTGTAGGCCTGTGTGACCACGGCTTGTCACACAGACAAACGCCCGCACACGCTCGCACTCACAATGTGAATGTGACATTCACTCTCACTCACCCTCACGCTCACGCTCACGCTCACGCTCACGCTCGCTCTGACTCTCACACTCACATGCTCGCAACGTGCGAACTCCAGCTTGCTGCAGCATTTGTTTTTAGGTGGTTAGAGCGGAATATGGCACGGGCACAAAAC